ATACATCCATACATACATACACACATACATACATCCATACATACATACACACATACATACATACATACATACATACATACATACATACATACATACATACATACATACATACATACATACATACATACATACATACATACATACATACATACATACATACATACATACATACATACATACATACATACATACATACATAGTGTAATAGATTTTACATGGCAGCCAATTGGCTGAAATGCGTAAAATTAACAAAACTTACATGTTACAAACAAATTAGGAACAACACATGCACAATTAGATATTACTGAATGTAATAATATTACATACTATATGATATCAGCGCAAATTCAGATATTTCCCCAACCACCACCACCGCTAAAATAGAGATCAAACAAGGTTGTCAGCACAACTAAAGAAACCAAAACATGCATAAAAGCCAAAGGTTAACGCGAGGCAGCGGAAATGGTGGTGGAAGTCATATCAGAACCCCACCAATATCCTTTTGGTTAATAAACTACTCCTTTGACATAGAAACGACAAAAGTGTTCCTAAAACGATTTGTTCGTGTGGTCGGACAGTCAAAAGGTCGCTGTCTTCTCAGATTATATGCTGAGATATTCTTGGGTGGCAGATTAAGATGGTGAAGTTTGTGCTCGGTATCAGATACAACTAACTGAAATAGTTTTTACACAGTTTCAGCCGCCTGTCTCTCAAGGAACTTATATTCAATTTCATACGATTGTCCGTATATGATAACCACGGAGATATTATGGACAGGGCACGCTTTTGAATGCGCTCAAAGTCATCACATAAGTATACAGGGAGAGCATGATGGAAAACAGGAGCACAATACTCGAGAACCGGTCTAATAACAGTGCAGTAGAAATTAACAATATCCCAAGCAGGGACGTTAGCACGCTTTTCGCTTTCTTGATTACTTCGTTAACATGGTCAACCCATTGGAGTGAACTGGATATGATAACTCCTAACACCTTGGCACTGCTCACCAGTTCGAGTTCTTTGGAGTTGATTGTGATTGCGTCAAACTGTTGTTTCTGTCTCTTAAAGTCGATGACCATTTCTTTACACTTGTCAGCATTCAGTTGGAGCTTGTTCACATTACACCACCTCTCGACATCAGTAACGGCGTTCTGGATAAAGGTTTCGCCATTCCGTGGAACAACTTCAGCTAACGTGGTGTCATCTACATACTTCCAAGCATGCGCTTCAGATGGATTGGGGTCATTGATCATTAACAGGAACAACCAGGGTCCTAACTTAGTTCCCTGAGGGACACCAGATGCAACAGCACCCCATTCAGAGAAACAATCATTTGACAACTTATCACGTTGGAATCTGTTTGATAGGAAATCGCACACCCAGCGAGCTACACCACATGGCATTCGAAGGGAAAGGACTTTGTTAACTAGAATGCTGTGGTCGATCAGATCAAAAGCTTTTTTATAGTCAAGCAATATGATCCTCACTGCTGCACCTGTTCCATCAGTGGCAGAAGTCCACGCATGCATCATGGATATAAGAGCCTGAGTAGTAGACGACTTCGGGATGGCACCAAATTGATTGGATCGATGATTTCAAGAACAGCAGGTCCAACATAATTCTTAACGATAAAGTCCTCAGCTAACTTCGATAGTGCTGATGTTAGCGAGATGGGTCTTATATGCTTGGCAATTGTTGTTACCTGGTAATTATTGTCGTCTTAGACAGTGGTGTGGTATTGGCATATTTCCATGATGCTGGAAGCGCTTGTTCCTCAAATGAACTGTAGGCAGCAAGGATGATGCAGACCACTTATCTTGATGCGGTGTTGACAAGGCTTTCCACCGCAGACCTGCATTTGAAGAAGAGTAAGTGTGTGTTTATGGTATCACAAGTCAGCTACTGTGGATATCGTATCAGCGGTAGTGAAATTGAACCTGTGATTGAATAAGTCGAAGCTATCCAGAATGCTCCTGCACCTCAGAATGTTAGCCAGCTACGCTCGTTTCTCGGGATGTTGAATTACTTATTACTACCATCGTTTTCTGCCTAATCTGGCTACAACATTGGAACCCCTGCACAAGTTGCGTCGTCAAGAGACTCCCTGCATGGAAGTGGACACACGAACAACACCAGGCATTAAGTGCCAGAGCGAAGGAATTGTTGCAATCTGCTGACCGCCTTGTCCATTCCGACCCTTCCAAACCATTGATTTTAGTAACCGATGCCTCTGACTATGGCGTAGGTACAGTTTTGTCTCATCAGTTACCGGATGGTAGTGAATACTGAATAGCCAAGATCGTTAAATTCAGCCGAACGAAATTACTCGACAGTGGAGAAGGAAACTTGCCATCATTTTTGGCGTAAAAGTGGCCATCATTTTTGGAGTAAAAAATTCCACCAATTCCTGTACGGACCACAAGCCCTTAGAGAGTCTCTTGAGTTCGAAGAAAGAAGTCCCACCCCTTGCGGCACCACGGGTCCAGGCTGTGGTAGGCTCTCACCCTATCAGCGTACAAATATACTATACGGTACAAAGCTGGAAAAATTATCGATGATAATGCAGATGCATTGAGCAGATTGACACTTGCTGAAATGCCTTGCAACGTCCCTCAACCAGGAGAGACAATAATATTGATGAATCACTTGGAAAAAACACCAGTAAGGCCCGTTTCATACGCCGTACTTCACATGTGCCGAATACATTAAAGACAATAGATAATGAGCTGAAATGCCTCATTACCTATTGTTTTTAATGTATTCGGCACATGTGAAGTACGGCGTATGAAACGGGCCTAACTAGTGCTGAAATAAAGGACTGGAACAAACGTGATCCAATGTTGTCGTAAGCAGTGCGGCTTACATTAGAAGGCTGGCCAATGTCGTGTGAGACAGAGCCGTTGAAACCCTGTGCAAGACGGAAGTTGGAACTCAGTGTCGAGGATGGGTGCCTCCTTTGGGGGAGAGGAGTGGTAATTCCCCCACCAGGGAGATCGAAAATATTAGCAGCACTCCATGAAGCTCATCCAGGTGTATCACGTATGAAAGATTTAGCAAGAAGCTATGTTTGGTGGCCTGGCCTTGATGCTGAAATTGAGAAGGAAGTGAAAGGCTGCAACAAACGTTAACTACACCAGTCTGCCCCTGCCTCAGCACTCCTCCATCCATGGGAATGGCCTGGTCAACCATGGTGTCGACTGCACATTGATTATGCATGAATTATTAATGAGTATTTTAAATTTACTTGTAGACTTGTGGCATAGAAATAATAGATATAGAATGCGTACTTGATCACGAATCATTATTTCACATATCTATTATTTCTATGACTTGTGGTCAATCTCTAAGAATTAATCTCTTGTTCTTGTTCTGCGTTCACCAAATTGAACACGCTAGCGTTTCAGAAAACGCTTTTCAACTTGTTCGGCTAAAATATTTCACATTTTACGATGACAATTGCTTGGATGCATGTCTAGCTTTCCAGTAAAAGTATTATTACAACAAACTTAACACGCAATTTTCGTGGCATGATGAATGCCATCATTTTACTATATAGTTATGTAATCAGCGAATTTAGCTAATAATCAGAAATGCGCACTTAATTTTAATGATTTGTCACAATATACTAGAGTACGATATAATAATCACAAAAACAGACAACTTACATGCAAAAATTACATAGGTGTGATTGGGGAAAGGAACAGGACTTGCATCCCAATCTTGGGAAAAACATGAAACTGATGAAAGATGAAAAAATGTGTGCACTTGGGAAAAACATGAAAGATGAAAAAATGTGTGCACTTGGGAAAATCATGAAACTGATGAAAGATGAAAAAATGTGTGCACTTGGGAAAAACATGAAACTGATGAAAGATGAAAAAATGTGTGCACTTGACTTCGATGTGTGTTGCACTTGGGAAAAACATGAAAGATGAAAAAATGTGTGCACTTGGGAAAATCATGAAACTGATGAAAGATGAAAAAATGTGTGCACTTGGGAAAAACATGAAACTGATGAAAGATGAAAAAATGTGTGCACTTGGGAAAAACATGAAAGATGAAAAAATGTGTGCACTTGGGAAAAACATGAAAGATGAAAAAATGTGTGCACTTGGGAAAAACATGAAAGATGAAAAAATGTGTGCACTTGGAAAAAACACACTTCGATGTGTGGTGCACTTGGGAAAAACATGAAAGATGAAAAAAATGTGTGCACTTGGAAAAAACACACTTCGATGTGTGGTGCACTTGGGAAAAACATGAAAGATGAAAAAAATGTGTGCACTTGGGAAAAACATGAAAGATGAAAAAATGTGTGCACTTGGGAAAAACACACTTCGATGTGTGGTGCACTTGGGAAAAACATGAAAGATGAAAAAAATGTGTGCACTTGGGAAAAACATGAAAGATGAAAAAATGTGTGCACTTGGGAAAAACACACTTCGATGTGTGGTGCACTTGGGAGAAACATGAAAGATGAAAAAATGTGTGCACTTGGGAAAAACATGAAAGATGAAAAAAATGTGTGCACTTGGGAAAAACACACTTCGATGTGTGGTGCACTTGGGAAAAACATGAAAGATGAAAAAATGTGTGCACTTGGGAAAAACACACTTCGATGTGTGGTGCACTTGGGAAAAACATGAAAGATGAAAAAATGTGTGCACTTGGGAAAAACATGAAAGATGAAAAAAATGTGTGCACTTGGGAAAAACACACTTCGATGTGTGGTGCACTTGGGAAAAACATGAAAGATGAAAAAATGTGTGCACTTGGGAAAAACATGAAAGATGAAAAAAATGTGTGCACTTGGGAAAAACACACTTCGATGTGTGGTGCACTTGGGAAAAATATGAAAGATGAAAAAATGTGTGCACTTGGGAAAAACATGAAAGATGAAAAAATGCGTGCACTTGCGAAAAACATGAAAGATGAAAAAATGTATGCACTTGGGAAAAACATGTGTGAATAAATTAAAGAATGATGTAGTTTGATTTGTAGTTTTTTTATTAACCTTCGTTACTTGTTCAGTATTACTGACCAGTAATTTTTCTTTACTTTATTGATGCAGATAATAATTCTTTCGAAAATTACACTGACGAAGACTGGAAAAAACGACTATCCCCTAAGCAATATCGTATTTGCCGAGAAAAGGGGACAGAACCAGTACGTTGATTTGTATTTTTTTTCCGACAAGACATTATTCTTTGCTGGTTTTATATTTAGTAACGTTTGATCAGCGCCTGTATTAGACCAGGGATTAGACCGATTCGAAAAATATCAGCCAGTTTTTTTCTTCCGAAATTAATTTCAACCAAGGTAATCACTGCCCCCTTCAGAACAATTCAAGACTAACAGTTTTACAAAGTATTTCAAACACTCATTAATAATTCATAAGCTTATTGGCAAATCATGTCAACCATAATACGGTATGTCGCGTCCAGTGGCTTTAAACCTGATAAAACACTCCTAATTAGTATTCTTTAAATAAAGAATACTAATAAGGCAGTATCTATTATAGTCGTGCCCTCATTAGTATTCTTTATATAAAGAATACTAATAAGGCAGTATTTCTATTGAATTTGCAGTCGTGTTTGAAGCCGTTTAATAAACTCGCAGGTCATGTTTTATTTGGTCTAAAGCCACTCGCGCTGCGCGCTCGTGGCTTTAAACCTAATAAAACACTCCTGCTCGTTTATTAAACAGTACATATTACACACGAAGGGCCTTCGCTCGAAACGTCGAAATTCTCCTAATATTTTTCAGGTAGTTGCATCCCTACCAACGAAAGCTTGTTCTATAATTATAATACCATGTATTATTATTATATTATTAAATTTGTCACAAATGTTTACAATGACACAATATACACAACATGTTACAAGACAACGTAACTTCGTCCCAATAAATACCTGACCCCTTATAACTACTAGGCACTTTATCGGTGTAAAAACAAACGAAGGCCTGACACTGACCTGATCTTTTGAGAAATTAAATGTTCAAAATACCGAAGTTTATGTCAGATTTAGAAAACAAGCCTGACTAGCCTCGTTTTAGTGCTTTTTTGCGCATTTCAAAGCTAGAACTAGCTATATATAATAGTCTATATGATTTTGCTTGTATGAATTATTTTCATTCTTAAACTCTTATATACACTTTGCTTATATAGGCTAAGGCCTGTTTCAAACGTCGCGCTTCTCATGTGCCAATGCCTCATTATCGGCATATGAGAAGCGCAACAGGCCTAACAGTCTCTGTTGAAAGATTGTTTTTTAGCTTACCAAATACCAGGCTAAAAATAATGCAAAATGTAGTAGCTAGTTTACGAATCAGCCAATAAGTTGCCACGTTTTCATTCATGTGCCCAAAGCTTGGCCTTTAGAATGGGGGTAAGGACGTAACTCTTATTTTTTGTAAAACTTGCTGACGAGTTTGAATATATAAGGTATTCCGTAAGCAGATTTTACATTATGCTAACTTTGTTGTTATTCAATTTCATTTTAAGCCATGGTCTGGTGAGCTGCTTGATAATAAACAACCAGGTATCTACAGCTGTGTTTGCTGTGATGCTGATCTTTTTGAGTAAGTATGAGTTCAAATGGGTGTTAGCATAATCTTAGCGTTTACACACGATTAATCGGGACGGTTCAGCTTTAATTAATTAATATTTGAAAAATATAATTTAATTAAATATAATCACTCCAATGTTACTACGGCATAAAACCGAAGTATCTGCAGTGCAGTGACAAGCTGTTCCCGGTTAATATCGACAGGCTTGAACAAGGTTCTGCACCCTCAGAATAAGTTATCAACAATGTTACAGCATTGTTCAGTATAACAATGCTGTAACAACTGTGTTGACAAATGACAACTTGTTCTTAGGATGCAGCACAACTTTATTCAAGCCTGTCGATATCAACCGGGAACAGGCTGTTCATTTTTACGCATGTACTACTGAAGTTCTGAGTTCATTTTAACTTTACAGTGTGGATGAATTATTATTAAACGATATGCATACTATGATTAAACCCATTACTTATAATTATTAACATTAAGAGTCCTGTTAAACCCTTTACTTATAATTATTAACATTCAAAATCCCATTCAGAGAATTGACCTGCGCCATGTGCAGACTCGCAATGCCTACATTAAACACGTTTATGATTTTTCCAATTCTTTTGAACAGCTGGTCTACAAAATTTGACTCGGAAAGTGGATGGCCATCATTCTGGTCAGCCATTGAACTTGAACAAACCAATAAACAGAAACAACTTGGCCTCCCTAATCTGAGTGTTGATCAAGTTGCAGACAAGAGTCATGGCATGGTTAGAGTGGAAGTCTTGTGTAGCCAGGTAATGTCTGTGAAGTATATAGCGTATTAGAGAAGTTCAGATTTGACTACCGCTACCACTACCTCTCACTGGCTTAGTACGCATCTGATTGGTTAATATATATCAAACGCATCTGATTGGTTAATATATATCAAACGCATCTGATTGGTTAATATATATCAAACGCATCTGATTGGTTGATGGTCTGTTAGTGGTAGCGGAAGTCAAATCTGGACCTCTTTAAGGACTCCAATATATGTCAGTGTTTTAAACTAAAACCTATTTAATTAATTTGAATCTAAAAAAACTAATTTTTTGCACAAGCCCAATATTGTTTCTTCGTATATAAAAGGGTAATTTTAACCCATAATCGCTACTCTTCATGTTACCATGACAACATGACGTCGGCATCTATATGGCCTATATCAACCAAAAAAGCCGTCTTAGCGGACAAATAACCACGGTGACCTACCTTTTTTATTGCAGAAAATACATTGTTATGACGTTTTGAATCTTTCTTGAAAGTTATTTGAAAATCGCCAGTGTAGTTTTCGAGAAACTGAAAGGCTGAAATTCAGTTTGGAAACCTAGGGAAACCTCCTTAAGACTGGTTTTCATTAGTTGGCAACACTCGCCGATGTCGATTCTGTGACCATTGGCGAGCATCGCAGGTGCCTTAGGACAAATACCCCCATCGTAATTCATCCTCGACTGTACCCTGCGAGCAAAGTTCTCTCGTATTTCTTCTCGGCACGGCACGAAGAAGCGAGAGAGACTCTGCAGAACTTTTGTATAAATTCATTTGAGCATGCGCGAAGGTTGCTAAGCAACTGCCTATTTCCCAGAAAAAGATTTATAAAGTAGCTTCCGGTTCGGTTGTTTCCAGCATCAAAACCGGTTATAAAACCAGTATCAAACCTGAAATTACGCATAATTATCCAAGTTTTTGGATTGTCGGCTCCACAAAGAATATACACAAGTTCTGCAGAGTCTCTCTCGCTTCTCCGTGCCGTGAAGAAGTACGAGAGGACTTTGCTCGCAGGGTACCTCGACTGATGAAAATAGACAGAAATTGGAGACTGTCGTTCAGCAACGAAAATCAAATGGTTTTCCCTGCAGGATAGCGTCATCCATGCACGCGGGATGTTGCGAGAAGATGTTCAGAAAGGGAAAGCCTTTTACGCTTTCCAAAAGTCGAGCAACATCCCAAGTACATATATTGGAAACATTACAGAAATCTCTGTTAATAATTGTAACACCTCCAATTCGAAACTTATTGCCGAAGCCTTTAATGAATATTTCGTTAACATAGGCCCAAATTTGGCATCTGAAGTAAATCATGAACTTTCTGAAGAGGAAATGAATAACGGTTGCATTCCTAACACTCAAATAAACACAGAATTTCAGTTCCATCAAATTAATGTGGAAAATGTAGCGTTGGCTTTAATGAATTTAAAGACTAACAAATCTACTGGTTTGGATAAAATTCCAGCCAAAGTCCTTAAACTAACTGCAGATATCATAGCTCCGTCACTGTCCTTAGTCTCCTATATATTTAATTTATCACTCGAAACAGGGATTTATGTTGACGACTGGAAACGGGCTCGAGTGAATCCAATTTATAAATCAGACGACAGACTAAAACGTGAAAATTATAGGCCGATTTCTATACTGCCAATCGTAAGTAAGGTTTTTGAAAGAGAGGTTTTTAGACAAATTTATAGCTTTGCTTCTGATAATTTCTTACTCTCCAAGTTTCAATCGGGATTTCGACCTAAACACTCCACACTGTCCTCTTTGATACAAATGTGTGACGATCTACTTGAGAATATGGATAATGGCAAAATAAATTGTGTCGTGTTCCTTGATGTACGTAAGGCCTTTGATTGTATAAACCATGAAATACTATTAAAAAAGATGCTTAACTACTTTGGTATATCGGGAATTCCACTAAATTGGTTCAAGTCTTATCTATCTGATAGAGAGCAGCAATGTCTGGTAAACGGTCATTTATCGAGCCCGAGAAAGATAAAATGTGGTGTACCGCAGGGATCTATCTTGGGCCCTTTATTATTCCTATTATACATAAACGATATGCCTGACTCCTTAAAATATTCAACTCCTTCCCTCTACGCAGATGACACAGAAATTTATCTATCCTCTAAAGATTGTGATGACATTGTTATTAAAATAAACCTTGATCTTGAAAATATTCGAAAATGGATGCTACAAAATAAGCTCCAAATTCATCCGACAAAATCGAAATATATGTTTATTGGATCAGCGTATAATATTAAACATAAGGTATCTGGTAACCCAATTCTTGTTAATAACGTTCCAATACCCAGGACTGAAAATTATACTTGCCTTGGTGTCAACATTGACGAAAAATTGACCTGGGAAAAACATATTGATATGATATGTTCAAAAGTCAGTGCGGGAATCGGTGCTATAAGACGTATTAGGCCTTTCGTATCGTCTGCGACACTAAAATTGATGTACAATGCTATTGTGCAGCCCTACTTTGATTACTGCAGCCCTCTCTGGGACAACTGTGGAATAGGCCTCAAAGACAGGTTGCAGAAATTTCAAAATCGGGCTGCAAGAGTAATTTCTAGTGCGACTTGCGATGTTCGGTCGGTTGATTTACTTGAAAGCCTGGGTTGGAAACACCTAGAACTAAGGCGAACTTATCTAAAATCTGTTTTTATGTATAAAATTCTGAATAACCACACCGCACCAAATCTAAGAACATCCTTTCGATTGAATAATGTGATAATACCTATGATCTTAGAAATAGAGACACCGATTTGTCTCTTCCTAAACCGAATACCGATTCTGGTAAAAGATGCTTCAAATATAACGGAGCGGTAGTATGGAATAATTTACCGTACGAGGTAAAAGTAGCGGAATCTTTAAGTTCTTTTCAAAGAACTATTAATCAGGCAAAACACTTAAAATTGGCTCGTCCTGTTGCCTACTGTATATATAATTCTTCTTTCTTTGTTTTTGTATTTTTAATGTTTACCTGTACTGTATATTTCTTCAAATCACGCCCCTCATGGAAATCAGCTCCTAGTTGTCGAGGCCAGCGTGCTAAAATAAATTTTTGTATGTATATGTATGTATGTAAGTACATGGATGACACGCTATCCTGCACGGAAAACCATTTGGCGATTGTTTTATAAAATAACTACAGTGAAACGGACGCTTTATTAAAATTATTGATGAAATGTGCAATTCTCACAACAATCGTGAACTAACCAATCAGAGACGGAGTTTGTAAGTCGCTATCCCCCACGAATGTTCTTTATAACGTCTTCATAACTTCACACGTTAAAATGTTTTCATTGTCCAACATTTTAAAAGGCTCGCGCGAAGGCATTCAAATTTTCCGTGCATGCAGGATTGTCTGATACTTAGATACAGTTTTGAACACGCAATTTATCAGTTTGTTTTCAACCAGTGATATAGCCCGCGTGCAGGCCCAAGGGAACTGATAGTGGGCCTGCAAGCAAGGCCCGGTATTTTGTAAAACGCCCCTTTTCATAACACGCCCCATTCGCGCGTCAATTGTCAAAAAAGAACCAATGACAGCACCCAAATATTAACAAACAAACTCGCATTAAAATGTTGCGGGTTTTTCTCTGCTTATTCAGAACATAAACAATGTGTAAATGGCTGCGTTTTAACTCCAAAAAAGCAAGCAACGCAGTCAGTAATTGCCAAATTTGCAAGTGCTCATTTTCAACTAAAATCGGAACAGGCAAATTAGGACGAATTTCAACAGAAAACCAGTCTCAAACTTCAAATCGTGAGGGAAGTCGTGCGACCACATTGGCATTTATATTATGTGATTCGCTGTCGCCATTGGCATTGTTATAATTAAATTGTCTCACTTATCAGATCGTGTGTGCAATTCTTGTTGCCGGCGGAAAGTACGAAATTTATTTCAGTTATTTCATTTGGTAAAGAACTCTACAAAAGAAGAGAGCGTTCAGAGTCCAGATCGTTTCGAACGGCAATTTAATACCGTCTTCTGTTTCGCTCTCTCAGCGAAGCCTTGTATATCGCAAAGTGTTTCGAATAGGCTTACATGCAACTGCATCTCAACATCAACCAAAAGATAATTTTCTTGAGGAATATTTAATGTATCAAGTCTGTTTGAAATTAATGAAACTCAAGTAAAGGTTACTATAGTTTACCCCAGTCGTAATGTTGCTATTCCAACACCTCACGACAAGCAATCCCCATTGACATAACGGCAAAAACATCTCTTCCTTCAAGTAAACAATAAACAGTCTGTTCTTGTTCCATTTATAATCGAAAAATGTTATCAATTTTCGAATTTTGAGCTTATCGAGAGCCTTTGTGATGAATCACTGACCTAATTATAGAATCCGACAGCAAACAGCCAATCAGAATGCCGCGTTCGTGGGCGAACGCGGAAAGTACAAAATACCGGGCCTTGCTTGCAGGCCCACTATCAGTTCCCTTGGGCCTGCACGCGGGCTACCAGTGATACTAAAAAGTATGCTTCAAAGCTTTACTAAATATATCTCCACTATGTTTGCAAATCGTCTTTGATTTCATTTTAGTGTGGATCTCACCTTGGACATGTGTTCAGCGACGGACCCAAACCTACGGGACTACGATACTGCATTAATAGTGTATCGCTTAAATTTAAACCTAGTGTAATAGACTAACTTTTAAATTTGAAGTTGCGACTTTTCTATTACTAGTGCTAGTCTGGGTCAGTAAAGACTTAAACATGCGTTTACTGATGGTAACTGAATATGTGAACACTATAGTGTACGTTTGGGTGACTTTAAATATTACTGCATGCTCTGGCCAGTAAAAGTCGATTTTTTTATTTCACTTGATGGAAAGATATATGGACTACGTTTTTCGGAAATCTGGCCAAAATGTGATTTGATAAAAAATTTCCGGGAAGGCCGTCAGACGGAAACACCAAACTCTAACGCCAAAGTATTCCATTTAACAATTTGATCTATCTGACCAGCTTGACCATACTAATCGGCGATAAACAACCATGTTGGTTTATGTCTCAAACCTTCCTCAGTGGCTAGCCTCGTGCATCCGCAAAAGTTATCACATCAACTCATGGTTATTTGTTCTTTCATTCAAATTAAAACCCATACCAAAGATATTAATTACAATCTATAATTTGAAATAATTTTATAATTCCTATTTAACCATTAATTTGAATTCGTAACGACATTCCCGCATATGTATATGTATGTATTAACAACAGTACGAAGTGTCACACAAGAATGTCATTAAAATCCCAGGTAATTATTATATGGTCATGGATGAGCGTATTTTATAACTGCTTGCTCCAAGCCTCGTTCATGTGAATTTAAATGAGCTTGGAGTCTTGAGCAGTACCAGCATAAAATGGCGGCAGTAGTAAGAAAGTTTTAGAAATTAAGAGAGCTAAAATAAAAGAAAGTCAAAGGAACGGATCATATTTATGGAAATGAAAGATTCCATTCCGATAAGATTAAGGTTATCCAATATTATTATATACACAAGGTCTGGATATGAGGTATTCTGCAATCTGATTGGTTCTCTACTAGCAGGATATTAGGGACCGGTCATTATTTATGGCGGGGGGTGGCACCGAAGAGAAAAGGGTTGGGTAAACAAAATTTTGAGTGAGTAAAAGGTTGGGTAAATGAAAAACGAAACAACTCAAAGGTTGGGTAATAAAAATTTATTGTCATTTCCAAAGCATGACTCACTCAAATATCGAAGACTGAAAACTGCAATGTCAACAGTCATATGTCAATACAATATGTCAATCAATCAGAGTCACTATCTTGATGATTTTCCGATTTGTTGGGAGACAAATGGTGTCTCCAAAGAAAGTAAATGTGCAGACAACATGAAGCTTTAGACTGCAGAAAAGTCAGTAAATTTCACAAGCCGAACGTTATCAAACTCGTATTACAGAAGTGGTAAAGGACAAATGTGACAGCTGAATGACATCCTTTTCGTTTTTGGCCAGGGGTGGGTATTTATTTTTTAAATGATATTTGAGGTTGGGTAATCAAATTTTTGATATTTTAATTGTTGGGTCAGCAAAATTTTTGGCACGAAAAACATTTCTCTTCGGTGCCACCCCCCACCATAAATGACCCGTCCCTTAGCTCATATCCTGCTAGTGGAGAAAAACAAAATGGCGGCTCAAACTGAATTTCCCATGTTTTGCGAACGAGAAAACGGCAAGTTGTTCGCTTTTTATAGCTTTTACAGGATTAAAAACACAATGAAAAAACTCCCACAAATTGTTTACACGTTAGCAAATTAATTTTTAAAATTTAAAATACTTAAAAATATATATATTTTTGAAACACTAATCGGCCGAAAGAGCGAAGATAAAAACATAAACAAAATAGAAAAATATTGAAAATATTCGAAAAGCAAAGTCTGTGAATTCAGACCTTGTGTATGTAATAAAACAGTTATTCCACTCACTCTCGTCGAATATGAGCGATAGCCGATTCGGCGCTACGCGCCTCATCGGCTATCAGCTCATATTCGACTCGAGTTCGTAGAATAACTGTTAATTATGAGTGATAGTTTAGCTCCAGCGGTTGCCATGTTAGACCGTTCTGGAAATATCTTACACACTTAGCCCGTGTCCATATAATAAACAGAAGAGTACATGCTGCCTTGAAGATACGGATTTTATGTTTTCGTGTTTTCACTCACTTGTGAGATATTGCTAATAAAATCCACATCTTTCCTCCACCATCTAATATCCTCTATATGCAATACACCTTTCTTATGACGTAAAATGCGGAAAAAACTCTTAATCGATGTCCCAAGGGACAATTTTTAGTAACAATTCGTCATGCAAATGATGCTTTTATGAAATTTATTGGTTCTCCAACAACTTGTATTGTCCTGTGGGGCATCGCATAAATTGGTTTTCCGCAGTTGACGTCATAAGAAAGGTCTATACAATTGAGTTAAAGGATTAGTATCATACCGTGGTATTGCCGGCTCAAATTCCTGCCGGCGGCCACTTTTTGGGCCGAGTACTCGAGTAGATCAACAGATCTGGAAAAAATTTCTAATCTGTCGTATATTTAAACCATCTTTTGAGAATCCTTCCTTCTTTTATCTGATTCGTACTGGAAACGTACCAAGCAAGTAATTTTTATCGTTATTTATTGGTTATTTGGGCAAGACAAAAACAACAAAAGCCCGCGATATCATGGTGTGACACTAATCCTTTAAACTGTAGGGAAGGAGTACTCTCTCCCTACATCCCACCAGTAAAATCTCTTACGCCAAAAGTGGACTCTACTTGTCTGATTCATTCCCTTTGTATAGAGCCTGATACGTTCCTCTTGTCTGGGAAGGTGCATTATAGTGAAGTAAATTGACCATATCACTTTATATCCGTTTTACCAGACCGTTCTGCCCGCATCGTTAGAAATCATTCAAACTGGTCATTTCAGGAGATCACTTGCACCAGTAGATGATCATGTAATACATGATCGTAACATCATACAGTATATTCCAACTTTTGTAATCAACCAAATTGATCCCATTTATCCCTTAATGACATGTAAACGACCAGACTGCGCTAAGCCCTTTGCAGGGCTCCTGAAAATCCCACCTGAAAATCGGCCGAGCAGTTGCGTTGTGACCATCACGAATCCGTATTGTACAACATTGGCATATTCTCAGTTATTTCACTATCGGCAGTTTTATCACCATTATCAGAAATACTGGCACGGTTTGATTTCTTGGGAGATGTAGCTAGATTCACTGCCAATACTTTCTTTTTCTCTGGTAGAAATAATGTTAGCAATAAAGCTAAAATCACCAAGCCTGCTCCAAAAAGAAATGGAGCACCAGATCCAATTCCCTAAAAAGAAGCAAAACACACACATGAGCATGTATTAATTATTATATAAAGTATAGTGCTTTATACAGATTTCGAGCACTGATAAAAGTGATAATCTCACATGTGAGATTATTCATGATAATCTCACATGTGAAAATTATCGCTTTTCTGTAAAAATTATCGCTTCAAAGACTGTCCTTTATATAATAAAAGAAAAATACATGGGTGCTTGGAAATACCAGATTTATTTCTCGTGTTGAACATGATATCTCACTCGTGAGATATCATGTTCAACACTCGAAATAAATCTGGTATTTACGCGCACCCATGTATTATTCTCTATTAAATCTTTAAACCACAATGACAAGTTCAGGCAGAAAATTTGGGATTTCGTCGATGGTGTGTATACGGAAGAAACACGACATAGCCAAAGACACGAACTGGCCATGATTGGGCCTATGTGTGGCAAAAATAATAGTGGGTACTTATGGCCAGCTGAGGAAATCACTGTCCGAATATTCGCCACTCAAAATGGTGGATGTCAAACAATTATGATGTGTAGACTTTCCCAAAGTCCTTTCCAGTTTTGGGCTAGTCTACATGTGTTGTGACGTCACTTTCAAAGGTGCACGCCCAGTGCTTAACTTAAACCGCGAAAACTTCGCTGTCTGCCTTTTATGTCCCAGTGAACTGTAATAACACTGGAACGCTAACTGCAGGTAAACATGCCCATACTTGCCTGAAGCCAAGATGGCGCTTCTCGCGAGCTCAGCGAGCAATAAATTAACTTTTAAAAGGACTGGGGAGAGTTTCGAGGAGCGGGAAATTCAGTCAAAAGTTTGTTTTTGAGCGAAAATCAGCAAGAAAAAGCACTGTTTTTATCAACAGGCTTCAACTTAAAAGATTCAAACCTGGTTTCCTGTATAGTTCTAAGTATTTTACATCCACTAACAGCAAAACCTTCCTGGGTAACAGCTTGATATTCAAAATATTACACAAGTTTGAACGTGCCGAAAAAAACTTCGCACTTTGACTCCTGAAAAAAGGACTTTATAACTGCTCTACGTTCTGGAAACAGGTTTTGTATTAAATTTCAGGTATTGTTGAAAGTTTTTAGCTTTTTTCCTTGTTGAAATACAGCTATTTAGTGGTCGAAAACAGACATCTTTTTGGTGTCGTATTTTCCACTCCATACGTACATGGCGGCCGTCATGAGTGGCTTCAAAGATGGCGGCCAAGTTATCGTTCCAGTTCCCTTAGAGTTCACTGTTATGTCCTTACGAATAAACACACTTATAATATTTGTCTCAATTAATATATAGTTAGTACTTACTCTTAACGATGGGTCGCCAGTAGATATCTTTGTCGATGTCGAGTTCGTTTTAACTGACGACCCAGGTTTCGGTGAATCAAGATCCACGTGGAATATAAAAAACATTAGGCCAAATAACGCAGGTCCTAACCCATTACATAAACCTCGTATGCCTGTAATAATACCTTGCACAGCACCTACAGTAGATAAAATACGACTATTTGTAATTCTCATTTACTTCATAAAGACATCACAAAGGAAGAGCTTGTATACAAAATCCTGCTGATTTATATAAACTGCAAGTTCATTTTTGTCACCAAATATCATATACATGCTTTTAAATTATTGAAAATTACATCAGCATTGTATATCTTATACAACACAACCGCTCATGCTCCCAGGCAATTCCAGCTTTTAATTTATGCGCGCAGGGGGTGACAGGAAGTAAGGTATGTTGCTGATTATGCTGAAAATTTCAATAAAAACTGCCGAAACAATCGAAATATTTCAAAAGCTATCACTCCATGTTTACACGGCCACCATTTTTAATTTTTTATTTTTTCAGCATAATCGGCAATATGATACCTTACTTCCCATCCCCCCCCCTGCACGCACAAACTAAAAGCTGGAATCGCCTATAGCATACATACAGTAGCTTGTTTAAACCACTTATCTCATAACAGGACTGGACAGAGCAAGTTAAACAATAGAAATCCGCTAATTACTAAAAGGACCAACGCGAGCACAAAATGTCAGTCTTCTTATTAAAGTCCTTCAAAATTTGACAAATATATTTATCATAAACAATTTATTTGTATATAGGTAATAGCATGCTTTCGAGTTTTCATGTGGAGTTACCGAGGTACCACGTGTTAACCTAACTGCAAATTGTCTCAGTCAGATGTGCAACATCGCCTTTAAACATCCATTACAACAGATTACAGTACCTTGTTGATCCGAATCCGAGTTACAGGATACCAAGGCGCTTATTGCAGGATACGTTAAACTGGCCATGGAAGCGAGTGAACCTGCAGCCCACATCATCCTGCAAATGAATAAAGTGTAAAATGTAGAGTGTACAGAATAGAGGAAGTAGTGGAAACCTTATGTGCTTCGTAGAACCAAACTGGAAGCACTCTTTTCAAACTGAGCACTGAATATGCAAGGTGGTCAATATTATATAATCCACGAAGTCATTTCATGGTAGTCCCAGTTCAACTACACGAATACCAAACTTAAACTATATCAAATAAGAACACATTACGTACCAAGGTCGACTTCCTAAACCATACCAAGCTAGTTGAAGTGCCTGAAATACAAGTCCTACGAGAATGCAATGTTTCAATCCTATGTTTTTCTTTAATAATGCTAAAACGCCCGTCTAAAAACGTAGAACAAAGGAAAACATGAGATACAAAATTACATTTGTCATACTGAGAAAGAATTAATATAATGAACAATACTACAATAACAATTAGTGCATTGTAGAAAGGCTAGCAGACAATAATAGTGTTTAGCCGGTTTATGTGGGCAACAAAACGTTAATCATAAACTACATTACCTGGGCAAAAACGGATAAAATCCCAGCAACTGCAATAAAGGTTGCTACATCTTCAGAGTCAAAACACATGACCTAAGAATACAAGCAATTTAAAACACTCAATACACAGGGTTCCTACAAAACTTGAATAAAAAAAAACTCAAGGCCTTGAAATGGCAACCAAGAACGAGTTATGGGCTCATATTGATGACTGGCTGTAAAGATAAAAAATTGCGTGACCCCACTTGTGACGTAACATCAGTGAGCTCTCTCTCTTTATGTACTATTGTCTATTTAAAAAACGAGCAGGAGTGTTTTATTATGTTTAAAAGACAGTTTTTTAAACCTGCGAGTTTTTTAAATGGCTTCAAAAACGTTTGCATAATAAGTCAAATCTTTATATAAAAATCTTTATATAAAAATCTTTATATAGTTTGCATAACAATGGTCATTTGTTAAAGTGTTCTTTAGCTGGTATAAAGACGTATGCACGTGACTAATTTCTTACTCAAGATTGGATAATTGCTTCATGAATTATTAATGCGTTTTTGAAATATATATATTAATAATATACATGAAAAAATTTCTCAATTGGGCTAAGAGCAGTGCAATTTTTCGAAATACAATGCAAAAAAATGGGGTAGAGTGCAAATTTCTTAACTTTCAAATTTGTTAATTTTCTTAATCTCTAAATGTGACTTACGCACGTGACTGCATAACTTTTTCATGTATATTATTAATAAGTAATACTGTAGTATGGTTTCTCGTGCAATTTGAAAAAACATACACTCGTGCGTTTTTCAAAGACTTCAAATTACACTCGTCCTTCGGACTCGTGCAATTTTGATCGTCTTTGAAAAACTTACTCGTGCATGTTTTTTCCAAGAACTTCAGCAAAACTGGAGCAAGAACTTCAGTAATTCGGCCTTTGAAAAAAGTGAAGCCAAGATGACATGAAGGTCGTAAACAGTCTTAATACCACTTCCCAGTTAAATCCAGTTTTTCTAACGGATCGGATCGCTAAATAGCCTAATATGAGATATGTAATGCACAATTTCTAGAGCGAAAGTGCAGAACATTGGCGAAATGATTGCTAGTGAGAGTATTTTATCTCTTGTATAGTTGTATGTATGGGGTTTTTTCTCCAACGGGCACATTTGCAAGAATCATGCACTAATCCATTAAGGCGAACATCAGATTGCACTTACTTTCTGTAGATAGAGAAACATGCAGGAATACTGTCCAGCTTCCGGTAAATATGATAAAAATACAGCTATAGACAGCAGCAGAACAGTTGGATCATTTCCTACTTTTCTCAAGGACTACAACAGAAAATAACAACAATGAACGAATTATTTACAAGTATTTTACCCAACAGTCAGGGGGGGGCAGAGGGGACAATTTGCCCCGGGCCCTCAGTGTAAGGGGGACTCCGGAAAAAATTTTTTGACCCTTTTTTTTAATGTCCGGAAAATTTTTTAACCCCCCCCCCCTCCTCGCCAACATTTTTTTGGAAAAAATAGGGCCCCCGAAAACAAATTTTGCCCCGGACCCCCGGATTTCTCTGATAGGCCCTGCCAACAGTTGAAGGGTTTTTGTAGATGGAAATTTCGAGCGGAAAGATTATATATCCATTTTTACACGTAACCAAGAGCAGCTGCGAAAATGCTAGGTTCGATTCCTGCCAGAGTCTATCGTACGGCCCTGCGATTCCGCTGCATATTTTTGTCCAATGCCATTCATTATAAACTATTGAGTAACCGACAATTTAAGGTGTAAAATCGTGCAAAATTGATTAAAGCGTAAAATTGATCAACTGTTAGTTTACAAGAGCCTTTTACGGTACATTATGGCTACGGTATTATTCAGCTCACTCCCCATTGGGGCTTTTCAGTGACCGATTACATCAAGTATTACGCTTATGTTACTTACTTAGCCTACACGCTGAGCCCGCTGTTTAACAGGATTGAACAATGTTTTGCTGCCCACATTGTTCACACTTGTCAACAATATTGAGCAATACTGTTGAGCCTGAATCGGGTGTAACAATATTGTTCAACATTGTTGACAACTGTGAACAATGTGGGCAGCAAAGCATTGTTCAATCCTGTTTTCATCAATATTGCAACAACCTGGTCGTTTTTAGCTGTGTCTACTATTTATCTTTACAACAATTATGATGTTACTTTCCTAACTAAGTATGTTTATCCTACCCCACCCTGTCAACTTCCCCCGTGGGAGGAAGAGAAAACTCACGACTTTCGGCACAGCGTTGACAGACTCTTTCCACACGAGTCCGTATAGCGAGAATCGAACCCACGAACTCAGAGGTGAAAGGCCCTTGCTCTGACAGACTGCGCCACTGAAGCCCCTTAAGGGGTGCATTGCCGGTTGATGAATTTATGATAAATAAAATACATTAGGTAAATCAAGCACAATTAGCACATGCATTTCATTGAAACATACATGTACTACTTACATTAAAAGGGTCAGCTAGTTCCCAAGACACAGGCGCACCCCATGATACAGGCCTCACGCGTTCTGGTAAAGACTCTGGGACAACCAATAATATAAACAAAATATCTAATATTGCTACCGCTGTTGCCAAGGCAATTACTACATTATCATTGTAGGCTCCCTGAAGATAGGAACCAAGTGCAGGGCTGGTAATTAGACTGGCTGCAAACGTAGCTGATACCTGTAAGAGAAAATGGGAAATGTAAAATACAGCACATGATTGCATAAACTTGTGATTGCATAAACTCAATACAAGTCCATTGTGCACAGGCGTACGGGTCTGATGCTTTCAGCACAGAATACTACACAGAAGTCCATCTCCATTGCTTTTTGCGTAAGCTCTATTCGTCATGATTCGTCACTCAGCAAGTACTGTAAACAGAAGCAGTCACCCCCCTGGACGTGCGCCATTTTTAGTATTTCCAGGGGGGACTGCTTCTGTTTACGGCACTTGCTGAGTGACGAATCATGACGAATAGAGCTTACGCAAAAAGCAATGGAGATGGACTTCTGTGTAGTATTCTGTGCTTTCAGGCAGGAATGAAAGAATGTGTATAGTACTATAACGTAGGAGAACATGCAAACATATTTACCAAGCCATATGCTGTACTTCGCTCATTTTCATCCGTGCAATCAGCAACATAAGCAAATACTACAGAAAAAGTAACTGCAAACACTCCAGATATTGATAGCACACCAAAAAACCACCTTAGAAAAAGAACATACTGTGATGTCATACAGCGTCGACACTACTGTACGTACATGTATGTATAAATAGAGTTTGAGAACACTAGCCTAGGCCAAAAGTGGGTTAAAACGATGTTCACATTGTGTTCGAAGAACAAATCCCACATATTTTACATGCAATTTTTAGAACAACCTCCCAGAAGACACTGGATAGTGTATACCACTATAGGTGCCCTTTTTGGCAGTCCGCCCACTTTTGAGACGCTTTCACTAACAGCCTCTGCATGTATTACATTTTGTATAACTTTATAGCTATACAAAAGTACTAGCGAGTGAACACTGGATATTAGAGAGTTTTAGCTTGACGTTTACGGCAAACGTCAAACCGCTAACGAAGTTTTTGATTTTGCAACTCTATTATAACAGCTTTTGCACCAATTTTGAAATATAAACAATCATTAAACTTGTGCTCTTTACCAATGATTTAAAAGAAAGCAAATTCACCACTAGTCACGTATTCACGAAAGCAGTAAATTAAGATTTGGCGTTTGAAATTTACGTTTGGCGTATAAATTGCATGCTTGAACTGCTATGAGGGCTTGTATAGTCGTTAAAGCATGAAATTTATACGCCAAACGTAAACTTCAAACGCCAAATCTTAATTTACTGCTTTCGGGAATACGTGACTAGTGGTTAATTTGCTTTCTTTTAAATCATTGCTAAAGAGCACAAGTTAAATAATTGTTTATATTTCAAAATTAATTGTTTATATTTCAAAATATAATAGAGTTGTAAAATCAAAAACTTCGTTAGCGGTTTGACGTTTGCCGTAAACGTCAAGCTAAAACTCTCTATTATACAGTGGTGGCCAGGCACTCAGTGGGTAATTAATTTAAAATACCCTGAATACCTGCTAGAACTGTGTACTATAGTTGTACGTATCTGTAATATGTAAATAGAATTACTGTACCTCTACTAGCCTGTTTACAACAAAAACCTGCACATTAAGTTACTGTACTCGTAATACAAAATTTGTACAGACTAATTTACTTACCAAGGATTAAATCTTAACAATGGAATTGGCACACAAGTAAATCCAACAGTCAGCAATACAAACGATTTTCTTCCCCAAACATCAGATAAAGCACCAATGAGTGGAGCACTTAAAAATGACAAAAATCCCTACAAAATGCATATTATTGTATTTAATGGTGGCCAATACATTTTTATTCAGCTACTGTATGTCTGTATATAGGAATAACCCATATATATTAAATATAAAATTATTATTTTACAACCAATTCTGTGTTTTTAATTTGTAGTCTATAGTCCGAAATATTTTGCAAAATACATGCAGTACAGGAAAATGATTAACAACAACATTCATAATAAAAACAATAATACTGACAATAAAAACAACAAAAGCAACAAGTATAACTTTGTCTACACTGCAAGCAGAGTTGCAGAAGCAGTTTCACATTATTGTATGTATCTATTATTGCAGTATTGATTTTCCTATTATTTGCTCAATAATAAACTTTGGTTTAATATATCAACAGTAACATGTCCGTATCTACTGTACAGTAAGTTCATTAAAACAAATTTAGTATAATTTTAAGTTGTACCTTAACTCCTTGAATCAATCCATTCATTAAAAACGTATGTTTGGGAAAGGTTTCTCCCAACACCTGAAATAAACACAGTGTACATTAAAGACCTGCATAAAAGAACCACTTCTAACTTTTGATGCCACTATATGGTTCTATTAAACTAATCATTGCCATTAAATATCATCCGAATTCAATAAAATGTATATCCTTGACTTACTGACTGACCTAAATATACTTGTACAGTATGTTACACCCACAGTTATAATACTTGTACAATGTTACACGTGTAATTTGTGTGTGTTGGTGTTATGTACTCAGGTGAATATGTTTGTGATGTTACTCTGAGTGTGCATCCACACCGGGCAAGCTGAGAAGTTTGCTTGGCCATGGTGGGAATCGAACCCGCGACCTTTGGGATACTAGTCCAATGCTCTGCCAACTGAGCTACGCGGTCAAGTCGGTTCGAGTTGATGATATTTCGGAACTGAGTCTAGTTCCTTCGATATCAGTGCAATCTAAGATATGAAATTTGTGTGTGTTGGTGTTATTTACTCAGGTGAATATGATGTTTGTGATGTTGCATCCACACCGACTTGACCGCGTAGCTCAGTTGGCAGAGCATTGGATTAGTATCCCAAAGGTCGCGGGTTCGATTCCCACCGTGGCCAAGCAAACTTTTCAGCTTGCCCGGTGTGGATGCACACTCAGAGTTACACGTGTTTATGCAATAAATAATTAACATCAAGCACGAGTAGTGCTGAGTGTTCATTTACATATATATTACTTAGTTATTCATTCTTACTGGCCAATAGGATGCTGGGAGGCAGTGGCTAGCAGAACCTTGTTAATCTTGAATAAAAACTTGTGTATAACATGGCTTACTTGCTCGGTATGAACGTGTGCAGCGGTATTGCCAGCAAGGGAGAGGGCCAGGCTATGTATTGTAGTTCTTGCGGTCAGGCTTTGAATCCTTTGATTAACGACTATAGTGTTGGTGCTAATGTATTGATGTCATGTTCTGCTTGCGTACAGTAGCTGCATTGGGTGGTTTAACTTGTGTGTCTGCTACATTTTATTTGTGCTGTTGGGGATTGCCTAGTTTCGCCCAAAAATTCACAAATTAAAAATCACAAATTAAAAATCACAAATTAATAACAATTCACAAATCGCGATACATAGTTTGTATAAAATGAAATAAACAGATTCATCAAAATTCACGGTTCACAGAGGTTCTCTGTACTCACAGTTTCACAAAGCCACGCTCTCGAGAAAACTCGTCTTAATAACTAATAAAATATATTTTTCATGCACAGGCCAATTTGTAATGGTACAGATTGGCACAAACTTCGTGCAAGTTGGTACAACTGGTACCCCTTGGTACGACCTTGACCGACCTACAGTACGTATGTGAGGTACGGTAATATATTCAATATAAAAGTTTGATCAAAGCTAAAGTAGGAATACTGTACATAACTAAATTAAACATAATAACATACTATAATAATTCATGCATAAACGGGCAGTCTCCGACATTGCGTAATTACAATGTTTGTGTATTATTTGCCGCGTGTCATTAATCCATTAGCCGTTTGCTTATCTAGACCCCCTCTTCCGGTTACATTGTGCTTTTTTTGTTATAGCACTCTACTAGTCCCCTTGGTTGGCCTAAATACAGTACTCCAGTTGCCAACGGCAACGTGACACCGTTGGTCTTCGAGGAATTCATCCGTGAATTAGCCGGTTTCCACCGCACAAAAAGAACTATGTTGTGAACGGTATTCGGTCAGGCTTCCGAGTTCGTTGGGAGAATGGTTGGGTGTGTCCTTGCGTTCTCGTTACAGATTATTATCTCACCACGGAGTTAGCTGCTGGGCGGTTGGCGAGCCCGTTCGCGTCCCTAACAGTACCGAATGTTCACATCAGCCCCTTTGGTGTAATTCTGAAGAATCATCAGCCGGGCAAGTGGCGCCTTATTGGATATTTCCACGCCTCTTGACCACAGCGTTAATGACGGTATTCCAAAAGGACCTTTATTCCTTGAAATACGTGACCGCAGGAGCGCCGGAACCACGGGGGAAGCTGCCTCCGTTGCCCAAACAGTTTTGGGGAAGCAGGTTGCCTTTTTGCAAGAACTGCACTTCGAAAGTCGTGCGCTATTCATATGAATTGAAATTGAGAACTGTTTTCAAGCAATTTAGCTCAAATTTGAATCTGAAATTCCTCTGAGAAATGGTACCAATGTTGCCACCTATGAAAAAAACATCAAAAAGAAAGCCTTCCAATCTAAATAATTGACTACTGTTAGTCTGTTATGTTGTTTTACTGTCATGTTGTACAGTACATTGCATTTTAGTGTATCGAGTATCCGTACAGCAAAATTTTAACGAACATTGCTGCTCAGAAGTAAGTGCCCTTTTTAAATGGCTGCCCCCGTCGCTTCATGTTGTTTCCGGCGCCCCTGCGTGACCGTCGATGATGCTATCCGATCTTTGGTACACATGGGCCCCGGGGCTTTGATGGCCACGTTCGACTACGTCAAGGCGGCGTATCGCAATATCCCGATAAACCCCTTTGGAGTGGGTTCGTGCCTCGAATCCTCTTCTCAAGTTGCGCTGGAGGATGATGTTGGAGAGGTTAATTCTCGGCATCATTGATATTAGTTAAGCCAGGTTGGGATGGCTGGAAGTCTCTTCAAACCAGAAGACAGCTGCGCAGAGTAGAGTTCGTCGTGAGCCGTCTTGCCAAGTAAACTAACTAAGCAGCGTGAACCTTCTCCAACTGAGCTACGCCCTCCAATCACGTCGTTCGTTTGAACGCTAGTACGCCACTACTAACTTCCTGACAAAATGCCTTCGCTCGAAACGTCGACGTTTTACTTGCATATTTCAGGCAGTTGAATCCCACTCAATCCGCAGCTTTCTGGTGTTATTGTCACTACCTACGCTGGCACAGACCGTTTATACGCCAGTATGCCGCCGCTAGTTGCATTGGGTACGAGTGTGTACGATGTTAAACCCATGTAAATCTTGTATGTTACACCCACAAGAATACTTGTATGTTACACCCACAGGAATACTTGTACTGTATGTTATACCCACAGGAATACTTGTATGTTACACCCACAGGAATACTTGTATGTTACACCCACAGGAATACTTGTATGTTACACCCACAGGAATACTTGTATGTTACACCCACAGGAATACTTGTATGTTACACCCACAGGAATACTTGTATGTTACACCCATAGGAATACTTGTATGTTACACCCACAGGAATACTTGTATGTTACACCCACAGGAATACGTATGTTATACCCACAGGAATACTTGTATGTTACACCCATAGGAATACTTGTATGTTACACCCACAGAAATACTTGTACTGTATGTTATACCCACAGGAATACTTGTATGTTACACCCACAGGAATACTTGTATGTTACACCCACAGAAATACTTGTATTGTATGTTATACCCACAGGAATACTTGTATGTTACACCCATAGAAATACTTGTATGTTACACCTACAGGAATACTTGTATTTTACACCCACAGGAATACTTGTACAGCACAGTACAGTACAGTACAGTACAGTACAGTACAGTATGTTACAACATCCCTACTTGTATGTTACACCACATGAATACTTGTGTGTTACACCACAGGATACCCATAGTGTGGTGCATGAGGAAAAAAGCTGTAGAAGCAAAAATTGCAAGTGCATATCGCTTAATTAGTGCATACATAACACATATATATTTGAGTAAAAATAAACTTACATTAAGCATGGGTCCTGTAAGTAAGCCCCATGCAAAGTATTCCAAAAATATAATAATGGTTGCATGGTAAACACTTGGCTTTCCATAACCTTGGCCCTGAAATAATAAAAAATGTTAAAACTAGTAATAGCATATTCACTATCGGTCAAAATAGTTTTGAACAACAAGTTTTGGCATGGTGTTATCAATGGAATTTTTAATAAGTAGAGAACACAGTTATCATTGTAATAGCAAAATAGACACATAGCTAATCATTAGACATCAAGACGATTTTGTGAACAAATTGTTTATATTGATATTTTTGTACATTACATATTGTCAAAGTTGTTCAAGATATGGTCTGAACTTGGCTAAAGTCTTTTGTTCTATCTTTTTGTTCACGTTTATGCAAACTTGTGCATGGTGAAGACAATGAATTTTTCGGATACTAGTAATCATCCAATGGCAAGATCTCGTCAATTCACTCAATCATACTGTTGAAATATAAATAAAAGTTCAAAAGATTTAGGCATGTTGAACTTGTCTCAAAATAAAACCATTGATAGAGCGCTCATTATAGTGGCTTTGAATTTTGCAGAATTGCACAGGGTTGGGAAAGTTGATTGTAAGTTGATTTGACACCACAATGTGTGAGAAAATATCAACACTCCCAGTTTAGTGACACTACGTTAGTGGAATACTGTATTGGGGGAGGGCAAATTTAGCTTGCCACAATATTATCACCTGTTTGGTGAGGCAGTCAGAGGAACAAATGTATGTGAGCAAATATTACCAAAACCATGGATCACATCAAAACATTCAGGAATGTGACCACATTCTTAAAGTTGTGAAATCCACATCATGGGAATGGCGACGTCTGATTGGTCGCAAGAAATTATATTGATAAAGCTAAAAATACTGTAGTTTCACATTTTAACAACAATAGGAGCAGGAATGTAGTTGGATTTCTGAATGTTATATAACACTGAAAACAATACATTAGGTTTTTGGAGGAAATTAATTTCAAAATTGTTACCCCAAGTTCACTTTTTTGCCTCAAAAACTCTTAAATGCAGTGCTGACAAAATTTGTAGTCTGACTTAATTAAGGTGCATTTATACAATATGATTTGTCACACTTGATTTCAAATTAATATGTGACAAATATGCTTTAAATGTAACCTGGTGACAAAATGCAAAATCACAGTGTGTAAAGTGTTATTTTCCGCTGGCTGAGGCACGAAAGAAGCGGAAAATATTTTCTCACACACTGCTGGGGGCCTGATGAAATCAGGGTGTTACAGGGTGGTGCAGGTTAGTTGAGCATATTTTTGTTGTTGCTCAACGTAGCTTGACAGTATCCCACCCACCCAGCCCTTTTACGGCTTTAGATTGGGTATATGTACTTGTTATAGTAACTATGTAGCGAGCAATTGTAATGTATGGTAGTTTAATAAATGTCAAGCTTGCGGCTGATGCTGCAAGCAGCTCCCAGCGGTGTGTGAGAACATAGCTTTATTTCACACTAGAGTGAGCTGCGAGTCGCTAGCCTTGCTTTGAATTAGGCTTTGAAAGTATATTAATATGGACGACATGGAAGGCGAAGTCGAAGGGTTTTTTATTTCATAAATATTAATGACCTTCGAAGTTAAGTTCCCTGTAACTAAATTCATTTCTTTTTTCAACACGTTTTCCATGCACTTCAGTCGCATCGTACTGAAGCCTAGCATATTTCTTTTTTTCCTCAGAACTAGAGTGGAACTAATGAATTTGACACAAAACTCAAAAGCAAATGCTGCGATACGGTCGAGATGAAAATCGGCCTTTACTTGTTTGTTTACTATGTTCAAGAATTAAAATAAGTATTTAATTAAATCTTGTAGTTATCCAGACCATTTTGTGCTTTCTAATCTTAAAATGGTTATTTAATTTTATTAGTAAGTATGATCAGACACTGACTCAGTTTGTTTATATATACTGAATGCTCGGAACCCTAAACTCAAGTCCTTTTCACGGAAGTAAAACTGAAGTTAAAATAATTCAATTTATACATACATACATACATATACATACATAAACTTTATTTAATTTAAACACGGGAAAAAACCATCAGTACATTAAAACGATTGCTATTTACAAGTTTGTAAGTATAGAAATAAATGCAATGAATGAGAAAGGAGAGAAGAGATAAATAAACCAAATTTTCTTTCAAAAGCTGAAAGTTGGTGCCAAATTGAGACAAAGCTAAAATCCCATCTGCCAGGATGCCATACAGTTTTCAATTTGATTTTTTAGTGTAAACCATAGGTGTAAACCAGACTGGAAAGTTTGCAAATTGCGCGACCGAGATCAAAATTTTCCGGATTTTTGCGCGCCTAGTTTTCGAATCTGCGCGTCTGGTATCTGAATTAGCGCGTGCGGTTTTAATTCATAGTTTTCAGTTTTCACCAAACGTGACAAAGTAACATTAGTGAGCTTAAGCAAGTGACGTTTTTGACAACACGGACGTTGACCGGATGTAAAGTTGACGTTTTTCACCAATCACAGCCCTTGACCCAGTCTTCTGACGTTACTCATGCCGTTCGTGTTGTCAAAAACGTCACTTGCTTAAGCTCACTATTGTTTATTACATTAGTTCATGTTCTATGTTAGTTTATTTGCTTACGAAATTACGGAAATTTAAATCATCACACTCACGTACACCACCATACGAAACGCTCACCAACATTCGTTGCTTGCCAGAGCCTTTTTTAAGAATTTGTCCGTGGGGAGAAAGCAATCTACAAAAAGGGACCACACTATTGTATGTAATAGTAGGGGGAATTTCTCCCCCAGAAAATTTTTGAATTTTTCCACCCCTAGGACTGCATTTGGTGCATTTTCAGAACAGATTTTTGGATGCACAGCGTTACATTGTATACGGTACTTTAGATATATTCTTATAGAATCTTCAGTTACAACTCGGTCACTAACTTGCTTCGCCAATTATCCTCGCTCTCGCCTTCGCATTCCCCCTAGCTTTTCCCACCCTCGCCCTCCCCCCTAAATAGCGCCTGCTACGCAGGCTACGCCAATTAGTCTAGCCTTCCAATAACTCAGTCAAATCTATAGGGTCTGGTCGTCTGGGATATGCTATCCAATGAGGCACGAGCTTAAAATCTAATGTATTCAGGACACAATGTTTAGCATTTTTATAGACATTGAATTGTTTGAAGATAAAAGACAGGACATAAGATTCACAAAGCAAATTTCAGTTACTAGAATATCAAATATCCTTTCCAAATTCCATTTTTCGTCCAATGTTTTGCTGATATTTTGGAGAAAAGAGACTTTGACTGGGGACCAAAATGGTTGAATGGTGGTGGGGGAGTCATTGGGGCTGGGGGGTTTTGGCTCCCAAGTTATATAGTTAAAAAGGGCCCTGTTAATGCTTGCAAATACTCCAAACAGTACTATATATTGCTAGTCTTGTCTATAACATATTCATGTACTATACATCTATATGTCTATTCCACTAATTATCTCAAATTTGTACTTCCAGTACCTCATGGTCCATTTACATTATCTTACTAAATTACTAATATATGTTATCTTTTAAATTGCCAATGTGCGATCATATATAGGTCATATATATATGGAAGGCAGGCAGCGCCAGGCACCTAATCGATGTTTGTTTAACTATTGTAAACTCAGACGTGTGTTCTTGAATGAGGATTGAATAAAGACTGTTATTAAATTATTAACTGATTTGTCAAGTACCCTGAAACGACTATATAAAAGCTGTAAACATGATTTGTTGGGTCAGCAACCAGGTGATGGTAAGGATGGTCATTTGGTTATTAAATGTCTTTCAACCGCAATCAGGTGGTAGCAAGGAAGATATTTCAGTTATTAAATGTGTATAAACAGCAACCAGGTGGTGGCTAGGAAGGTATTTCAGTTATATTATATATTAAAGATAGGTAATCGGACCTCTACAGGCGTTTGGGATTCTTTCTTGTAAGCCTTATTTAGTTATTGGTTTCTAAGATCTTCACAGGGTCTGGAAAGTATACTTGACCTTACTGTGAAATATTGTATAGCAGGTTACATGCATGGACAGCATGGTTATAGTGTGTGCAGTGTTTTGTGTATTTTCTTTGTCAGTCCATGTCATCTAAAATTATTCCTTAATGATAGGAATAATTTGATGATGTACATTACTCACATGGCCTTGCGAGGAGACCATCCCGTGAAGTGCAGTACGCATGTGATAACGAACTCACTCTGTCACGCAAACCGCTATGTCCTACCTAAGATATCTAACACCAGTCCCAGAAATGCAAGTATAAGACCTCTATACGTGGGTATCATTAGGTTAATGGATTTCCTAGATGTTCACAGTGTCTGCGAGGCAGACCAATACTGTAAAGTATTGTGTAATAGGTAAGGTATGTTATATACCCTATAGAACCTATGTATAGCCATATGATTGTGCTAAACTTAGGCTTGGTTATGGTTTGCCGTACAGACTTTGTCTATCTAAAGTTAAGTTGCAGGGTAAGAAAGTCCGTTTGTCTGTTCAGAATGAGGCAGATGTTATCAAATATATATGGTTCGAATAATAAGGCAGAATTTTTCTGACCAAACCATCCCATTGTATAAGTATTATTTACGTGACTCGGAATTGACTCAGACTCGGATTTGACTTGGTAAATGATTCACTCTGTTTGGCCCTCAGGCCCCTCACATATTCAGTTATTTACCGAAGTTGGCACTTGGCAATATGGCACACCACACTGAGAGAGACGCTGACTGCTGTCATGATTATATTTATAAATAATTGCTTTATAAATAATTACTTATTCTGTTATTCAGTTGTAGTGCATTTCAATCAATATTTCGAAATTCGAATCGTTCTATCCTGAACAACACGCTTCAACGTATTATTAGCCTGCAACAACACGACATTTACCTGGCAGAATGATTCAAAAGTCTCTTGATGAATGATCGCAGTGGAACAACAGCACAGTCTTCGCCTCAATGGTCGTATGATGTTCGCCTTGAAAAGCCAAATTCCAAAACCAAACGACCACCGAAATACAATTAGATCAAATTTTGGAATGGCTGATGTTTATTGGTTAATCGTGCCTCGTCGGAAATGAACTTTCAGTATGCCAATTCCAGATGGGTCTGATCATAGACATAGTCAAAACTCTTTTCAATTCGCGCGCCAAAAAATTGCGGTTCCCGTACGTCTATCGCGATATATCTCTCGCGCGCGCTTGAAAAATTGCAATATATTTTAAATTCATGCAAGCAAGCGCTTGAAAAATTGCGCAATCTCAACTTCGCGCGCGCCTCATTTTTGAAATTGCGCGTCTGACAGCTAATTTTTCGAAATTTGCGCGTCTGGGCGCGCATTTTGAAAAAAAATTGCGCGACCGAGATCTCGGGTGTGCAGCACAAACTTTCCAGTCTGGTGTGTAAACACCTGGTTCGGTACTTCAAACTTCAAAGCTAGGTTAGTGTCCAGGTCGATCCACAGAGCTAGCGCGTACAAGGCGAGCGAGTGCCTTAACCACTCGGCTACCGAAGATTTGCTTGAAACTTAATGAAATTTACTTTGATGTCATTTTGGCAAGCTGACAGAACGAAGAACCAAATCAAATTAATTCACAGACAAATAGTCAAAGCTCATTGGTTTTGGTGACCGGACAAATAACAACTCCCTAAATAATTTCAATAAATATTTTTCTTTAATACCCAGGGCATTAAAGATCTTCAAACACCTTTACTATATTTTTTACTTCCCAAATAATTATTTGTGACAGAACAATTGTCATTATATTTAATTTTATCTCTTCTTTTATAATACAAAACTGAAAAAACCCATCATAAATTTCATCCAACCACATCAAACAAATTTAAATCAAAGCCATTTTCAAGCCTACTTAAAACACAATTACTAAAATAAACACAGATGTAATACACAGCACAAAGTGATGACTCTGATAAGAAACACAACCTTACAAATTCACTCATATCCTTTCAAATTTTGGCCAAATGTAGACATAACTTTATACATTACTGTAATAAACAAATATGCTTGACTAATAAGTTAACGGAAGGTAGCTGGAAATATATATTACAACTTACTGTCGAAGCTTCACGATAGTCTTTGTCCTTCCATTGCCTTGACTTGGAGACTAAACCAGGAAAAGACACTAGACGTTTTAGCGTCTTCTTGCCGATTTTTGCTTGTTTCATGAGTACCAACGGCCGTCATAAAGACTTGTCTCGACCACTGGACTTGCCAGTTCCTCAAAAAGTATATAACAGCAATGGAAACTGTATAAATGAAAGGTTTTTGTCTTCTATACTAGTTTATTTAGGGACATTGAAACACACGTCCCAATAAATAAAGGAATATCGAATGATGTCATTTCCAGTCTCTCTACTCGCAAGCAGTGTTTCCACTTTGCGTTATTTTTCGTTATCCATTTTGTTATCTTGTTTGTTAGTTTGTTTGTGTAATAGTGTGAAATACAGTGTGAAAGTTTTTTTATTAACGCATTTTATTAAACTCAATCTTAAGGGATGAAAGAATTCAAATGAAAAATACACCACCGGCACCGGCCATTTTTCTGAAATCTACGCTCTGATGGCATCTATTTGTTAGGTGCTGACGTCAACTGGTATGTCCGTATGTTCTTACTAAACTTTAAACATTGGTGAACAACACTGACTATGCATGTTGCTACCTCTGATGTTGGCTTTACAGCCGAAAATTTGAAAGAATTTATATATTTTGCCAATTAAGTACTAGTACTATTGACACGCACGTCAAATTTATAAAATTCCCAAAATTTTCAATGACAGTTCGATAATTTAATTACGAAAGCGGAAAAGCCAAACGGAAACGTCCCCTCAAATCAATCTCCCCTCTCCTAAATACTGTATATGCAGTGGTAGTCATATGCAGGGCTAAATTCCAAAATAACGGGGTCGTTAAGACTCGTTATATGTCGTTAGTACCTACAATCTAACAATCCTTTGCAAAATCACCTAGCAAAACAATAGTGCTATGCAGTCACGTCAGTCACGATCCAGTGATCGGAATGTTCATTAAATAATTTATATCTGCATTGCCTTTTCATTGGTTTAAAAATCCCCCATGCATATCATCCAGTCTCGCCTTGAAATATCTGTGACGTTATCATGCAAAGGGTCAATATATTGCCATTTCACATCGTATTGACCAATTGCAAATTTTGTCCGAGCAACTTTGTACTTAATCAGTTATTAAAGGCAATTACACTGACATGCAGCGTACAAAAACACTATATTATATCACACATACTTGATTTTTACTCTCTATTTTATCTGACAATTCCCAATTTTCAGTCTTCTGTCTATAGCCTGTTTTCCACTAGGCGGAATTTTGCGCGCGGAGCGGAATTTTTCTTTGTCTTTTCTAATTAGTTCCACCCGAGAAATCACAAGACAAAGAAAAATTCCGCTCCGCGCGCAAAATTCCGCCTAGTGGAAAACAGGCTTGTGTCTATGGATGCGCACTCACTCTCCTCAGATTATTGATCATGTGCTTACTTGATTAACTGTCCAGAAAGCACATTTATTTCATATTAAGTTATTTACATGTTACAGACACACAAAATGATTAACTGTCAATTTATTATTTTTGTGATTTGAAAAAAATGTAACTTCTTAATCACCATAATGTCTGATCATTTGTGACTACTTTACTGAAGATTTAATATATGTCTATGACATCTATAGATAGTAAATTATCAGTTAATTAATACAATTTTACATTCAAACTTTATTGTAGTGTATTTAGGGTCGTTTTCCACTTCAACCATATCGTATTGAAGCACATAGTGTATATTTCTTTGTTTCCTGAGCACTAGAGTGGAACAATGACATATCGGCGGATCTCACTCATGCGAGTTTCCAGGTTAGCTGGGCACATATGAACAGGCCCTTAGGAAACACACGTCTACAATTTTATCTTATTGGAAGAGACTGAGCTGCACTTTTCTTGAAAGCCACTGTGTGTTTGTTATGATTCATCCACGGACCTCCGATAGTTGTGTCAAATTCAGGATCTTCAACATACTCTTTCTAAAAGGTGAAAATTTAGGCGAAAATAAGTTCAAAACATTACATAATATTTAATTCCCTGAAGACAAATTTTGATGCGCTTCTTGATAATATAAACGGAAAGGTAGTGGGTTGATAATCATTTTTCCTTGCAGCTGAGTGGCTAATTGCGATGGACGCGGCAACATGACAGACATCTCAAAGGCTTAGTAGTATATAGGCTTACTCATAGTCTATCAAGAAATGATGGTTTGGAAACTAAATAGAAGCGTTTGTTATATGTTTTTGTCTGAGTTCATGTTAACATGTGCACGGTATGGTGATTGAGTTCATTATATTTTGATATAATGAAGTAATCGTCCAATAGGGATAGCCAAGATGAAAGTGCAGCCACGATGGATAATATTTAACGAAGTTGAGATAAAGGATTTGTGCACGGTGAGGTACAGTTCAACATCAAACAAAGGTTTCCTATTTTGTGGCTTTGAAGTTTGCTGGGATTCCAGACCATCATATCTTATAATAGACCATGGCTTACTAGGGCACCTCTTGCTATACAACCATTCCCGTCTGATTAGCACATATAAGATGGAAGGTTTAGTGAGGTGAAAGAGGAAAACCAGAGTAACTGCAGGAGACAAACACTCGAAGCACAGGAGACGAACAGCTACAACTCAAATTACTACAACTCAAGAACACCAAGTTAAAGCAGGATAGAATTGACTAATTAATTAACATTAACAAATGTTAAAAAGTCCCTGCAACTCTGCAACGTAACCGGCTCTATAAGATATTCATATATGATAATTGCACGTAAATACCTTGTCTACATCAGTATTTTCATCCACATAGTTGTCTTGCAATTTACTGCGATCCAAGGGAGAAAACGTATCCCAGTCAACAACGTGGTTAGGATCCTTTTTCGTTCGAAGTAAAATACTTTCCTATAATTAAACAAACAAAAATGAATAGCAATGGTGGGCAATTCGCGAAATAGTTAGGGTGTGAAATTAAATACAAACATATTCCAACCCTTTTGTAATTGCTGCAAATTTCATCCCTCAAACCTTTGATTAGTTAAAAATACGTCATGCAGACCATGGATTGTAAAATAACTATAAATCTAATTGTTATTTTACAATCCATGGTCAGACTTTATTTAACAATTAATATTCGCCGAAGGCGAGGTGATTATCGGGGAATATTCGCCGAGACGAAGTCAAGGTGAAACTAGGTGAATATTCCCCGATAATCACCGAGCCTGAAGCGAATAATTGTTTTAGTGTTTTTTACACAGGTGTTTTGTGTTTATTGGGACTGAATTTATTTTAATTTCGCTCATTTCTTTATCAGTGACTATAATTCCAGGTAAACTAACTATAAATGTTGAGAAAAATTTCTCGAAATTTGGTTTTAGTAGAAGCTTCACGAGGCCGAGCCTAAAGATAAAGTAAACTATAATTGTTTAGGGGGCTTTGAAGGGCATATTTCCAGGAAATTTGGCCCGGGGGGGGCAAATATCCTGTGACACCGGGATGGCCCGCTTATAGCGAGACAGCTCGGTAAGCCGGGGATGAATTTCTCTAGCTTGTCATTACATGAGAAAATTTCATCCCGCTTGCCGGGACAATTTTGTTGTTTTGACATTGTTAGTGGACAGTTGTTATAAAACTATGAATAGCTTGTGGCGGTAGCTTCGAACGGCAACCGGACTAGCCCGCTTGCGAGTGTTTATACAGGGTGTCTAAAAAAAACGCTATGAGTTTATGGAAATTCAACAGGTTGTCGTGCATCATAAACGTGGCTAAACAATTCAATTTTACATAGGACAAAGAACTGTTATTTAGCTTTTCTATGATACCTTTCAGTTTTAAACCATAACGATGAGAAACTGGCCACATACCCGCTAAATAAAAATTGTCGGACGAAATCACATTCTTCCACCGTTGGGAATTGAAAATACATTAATTATGCAAAGTTAATCAATCCAAAAGCAATGCGCGCGAGCCTGCTAACGAATGTTCTCTGTTCAGTGGTTAATTGAACCATGTTTAATGCAATTAATAATGGACGTTCTTATTGTCTCACAAAGACGAAGATTGACGAGTTGAGCTCATTTTAGATAATTTAACATTCAACTTTAATTCCCTGTTGGGAATTGTTTATGTTTCGTTTTCCATGCAATTCCCAACGGTGGAAGAATGTGATTTCGACTGGGAAATGGGAGGGAAGGGGGCAAACGAAGTTTTACCCTTATAAATAGGGGGGAGTCAAAAAAGTTTTAACACAGAGAAAGGGGGGTCATAAAAGTTTTTGAACTTAAATACCATGTCTAGAGTTCTGATTTCTATAATCACAATTCACAAATAACCAAAAAAAAGACTCTGAAAATGCTATTTCCAACGATCTAGAGACTCAAAATTTTCAAAATTTCCCTGCTCGGCGCCAACCATGGTAGCGCCTCGTGATCGTGGGAGTCGGGCCCACTAAGTTTAACAAGCTTTCTACCCCCTGAGTGACCCAGTTGTGGTATTCACATAAACATACCATGCAAGTACACTTAACTGATCAGATTCAGTAATGCTCACATTTCAGTTCTAGGGGTGGAAAAATACAAAAAATTTTCTGGGGGAGAATACCCCCAGACCCCCTACTAGTACATATGATACCACACCAAACTTTTTGTCACCAACAACCATCTGTCATCTCTCCACACTCAATGTAGTATGGTCCCTTTTTGTAGATGCCCACCCCCCAGACAAGTTCTTAAAAAAACCCTGTGTTCAAATCATTTCGCTGTATGAAGACGGGTCATGAGTTAGGGTTATGGTAGGACAAATGTTGCATTGCAAAGTAGTAACACATAATATATATTTTTTAATCATATATGGTTGAATCATATTCACCAGGGTAAAACATCATGAGCTAGATTAAACAGATTGTCCTAATATCTAACTTTACCTGCAACGCACACCTGTTTCATTGCTGTTAATTTTTCAATCCACACTGGGGGGGGGGGTCAGAAAAGTTTCTACTTTTATGAGGGGGGAGGCACAAAAAGTTTGCCTTCAGTCTGGAGGGGGGGTCAAAAAAGTTTTCAATCCTTATTTTCCCCATTCCCCCCCCCCTCCCCATAAATAATGACCACTCCCTTAGGCCTGTTAATTTTATATGTCGAATTTTGGTCGCATCGAATGCAATTCAAACAATAGATAATGAAGCTTAACGAGGTTTGTCATCTCATTATATATTGTCCTAAAGTTGGCTCGCTACACTTTTTTAAAAATTAGAGATTTTCTGATTTGGATATGAATTTCTGGAGAATTATTATTTGTTTAAAAACAAAGGGTATCTGACTTGTATAACACAATAACTAAGGAGTTCGGAATTTTTAAAAAAGTACTCCTAACTGCCGTTGCTATGGAAACAATGACGTCACAACATGGCAGATATTTTATGTTTAATTAAAGTAATTTAACTCGAAAAAAACTTCGATGACCCCCATTTTTTATTTCATAAAATGATTTCTTTTAGTATTTTGAATTATTTTCATGATTTTAAAAAATTCAATCATGGCAAAATAAAATTATTACGAATTTTCACATTTTTTTTAAATCATGAAAATATTTCAAAATACCAATAGAAATCATTTTATGAAATAAAAAATGGGGGTCACCGAAGTTTTTTTCGAGTTAAATTACTTTAAACATAAAATATCCGCCATGTTGTGATGTCATTGTTGCCATAGCAACGGCTGTTAGGAGTAGCTTTTGAAAAATTCCGAACTCTTTTAATAGTTATTGTATTATGCCAGTCAGATACTCTTCGTTTTTAAACAAGTAATAATTGTCCAGAAAATCATATCCAAACTCGAAAATCCGTTTAATTTAAAAAAGTGTAGGGAGCCACCTTATTAATTGTGCATTCGACGAGACCAAAATTGGACGTATAAAACGCGGGCCTTAGCGGGCCAGCCCGGCTTCCATATAAATAGGCCCTAACTTGGTCTATAAAATAATATCAAACGACAATAAAACTTGAGTAGAGCCAGAAAGTGAATTTTGCACAAAGAAATAGAACCGAAATAAAATTGATCTTTTGACAAACCTTTAAACCGTAGAAACCATTAGCCTTGTCTGGAACCTGCCATCTCAAATCCAAACTCCATCTTATATTCTCAGTATAATTATTTAGGCTAAAAAACAATAACTTGTTTATCACATACTAAAATACATGGTTTTTAGTCCAGTTCAAGTCCAGTATGTTCATCCATTACATGTTGTACTGTATACTGTATATACTACATATACGACCATGCTGTAATGACAGCTATGGGCGTATCGGGATCTATAGGAAATTTGTTACCAACCAGCTGCATCTTCCCTGCACATACTTCTGTTAAGCCTGATTTCTATATGACACCGACAGTCGGCAAGTTCCATTGTCAGTGATTACTCGACATGAGTAAAATCCAGAGAGTAAAATCCTTTGTGTATATCTGAACATTTTCTCTCTCAATGATTACCAACAATGAATCGGCGGCTGGTCAGCGTCATATGGAAACCATGCAGACTTTACAGAAACTCATGATCGTCTCAGATTCTTTTGAAGAAATGCAACCTTTTTATTTCTCTCATTACTCAAGCACGAATAAGTTCTTCCTTTGTCTTCAAATTTCCCCGCACTAATGACATGCAAGCAGGACACTAGTGGAAGCCAACTTTTCTTTGGGCGCTTTCCATTTAATGGCCTGACCGGTCAGACCATTTTTGTCTCTGTATCAAATTATCAGTGGAAAGATCTGGTCTATGTTTCTCAAATATCTATAGCGAAAATGGACCTCATTCTAATTTTATCTAAATTTTCCGATCAGATAGGTCCGAAGCCCAAACTTTTTGTGTTCCATTCAACAATTTGACCGTTCTGGCCGTGTTAGTGGAAAGCGCCCTTTGTTTTCTAATCTTCCCTTGCATGTTGATGAAGAAACATTAGAAAGAGAAATTGTTTCTCGTGCTGGTAATCATTATAAGGCGTACGAAAAATTAAAATACGCGAGTGCGTGACCAACTGAATTTGTGCAGTTTAAAATCTCGTTAAGATCCTGCCATTTTAACAAAATCCAAATCTCTCAAAACCTAAAATAAGATTCATTTTTGCAGGCAGATTATGAAGTTATGAGTTGCTTCAAATCAATCTGCATGTGGTAAAACCGCATCTACAATCGCGTGCAAAAATTGTTGAGACAAGCGGTTTATTGCCCCTCTCCCTACTGTAACAATGGTTTTTGCCCCCCTCCCCCTTGTGCAATGTTGTTAAAACAATTTTGAGGTCAGGGTTTATCAAATAATATGTTTTCAACATTGTTAGTGGGGGGAGGGGGGCACGCACGTGAAAAAAATCACCAAAATGTGAAGAGTCTCATTATTTTTGCACGCGATTGTCTATGTAGTTTCGAGTAATGATAATTCTAATACGGTTATTTCGATTTGCTGTAAATAAGAAGCATAACAGCCTTTGCTTACTGTTACTATGTGTTTGGCGTGTGCCTAAGGATTTTCCCTACAGTGTGTAAAATTGTGACGTCACATTGACGTTATCGTGACGTCATAAATGACCGTAAATAGTTCATAAATTGAACGCGCCCGCTTGAGTATGAAAACAGTTCGGACAAGATGCCATTGACAAGCAGATCACGTCAGAAAAGTTTGAACAATTTTCCGAAAGAGTTAAAAGCACGACGATGAATTTGTCAAAAAGTACTATCGACTGAATTATTATATCGATGAACAAGCGTGTTGCAATGATCAGTGAGAAACGGAGGAGAACAATTGAAGTATTAAATTTATTAAGTGTTTCTATATTACAATGTTTTTCCTTATTTATACAGTTTATATTGGCAGAGCCTTTTGACTTCAATTACTGTTTTAGATGCTTAATAGTGACGAATGTATTAAGTACACACTTCTACCATGCATATTCAATAAAAGTACTATGCGAAAACTCAACGATTTATTGCCTCCGCGTGAAAATTATTTTGAAGACCTTATACATGCATACAAACTAAATAGAACTCAATTTCAACACGTTACGCACACGTTACGCACACGTTACGCCACACGTTACGCCTTTCAGTATGGGTTAGGTTAAAACGCGGAAGCGGATGCGGAACGGAACGGATGCGGAACGGATGCGGAACGGAACGGAACGGATATGGGGTTAAAATGCGGAACGGAACGGATATGGGGTTAAAATGCGGAACGGAACGGATATGCGGAACGGAACGGAACGGATATGGGGTTAAAATCCATCTGGTGGACGGGAAATCTGATTGGTTGATCAGCATCATGAAAGATTTTGATTGGTTGCAAGTTCATATAAACAATGGCTTTAAAAATAGCTCTGTCAAAGCGACAATTAAGCCGGTTAAAGACGAGCAAGTTTTCTTTAAGAATCTTTAAAACCCGGAATGAGAAAAGCCGGAATCTTTAAAACCCGGAATTATTACTGTAATTACTGTAATAATTTATTAATTTAATAAAGCCAAGTTTTGGCGGGATTCCTAAACTTCTTTGCGCGTCGTGTCAGATTCTCGAACAAACAAGTAAGCAGTAAAGTAAAGAACCTCAAAAAATTTTATGCAAGGCTGATATTCTATTATTCTGGAGGAAACACAGTGGGTTAGTTTTTATAGCGAATACTATTATCAATACTGTTGAATTGAAGCTCGATTTTTGATATACGTCTGGCAGTACCACATCATTTTCAAAATACTAGGCCGTTTCAATTTTAATAAGCTTTCCACCTGTGTCTGTCACTATAAAATGTTTTGAACTACATATTATGAAAGCTTCAAATGCGTGTGCTTACATGCGCAGCAAGGCGAGACTTTTGAACTTTTGAAAATAGTTTTTGAATTTCCGTGGCATGACAAACGTTTGTTGCGAACTTTTTCTCAGCGAATTTTCTACTAACCTGCAAATAAAAATTCCACTAAAATGTAGGCATTTTCACAAGCTTTCAAAACATCCACGTTAGGGGTGTATGTCGTTAAATTTCGAATTAATATAAGCGATTGAAACTCGTGCCTAAAATCAGACATAATATATATTCCGATTTCCGACTAGAATGTATATTCCGACGGCAATTTTTACACCCTCGTTTAGGCAACGAATTGTCGCTCAACAAGGGTGGGTTGACTATAAAATTTTTGTAGTTCGCTATAACTACAGCTACTTCAAAAATATGTAGTCAGCTACAACTACTGCTACTTTTGAACAAAGGTAGTTCGCTACAAACAACAGCTACTGCTTAAAACATGTAGCGAACTATTTCGCTATTTCGCTACTCTATATTTTTTAGTTTTACTATATTTGGAGCATCCACTAGCTCAGGCTGTAATATCACCTATAACAAGTCGACTTACGAGTAGCAACAGTAAACAAAAAGGGTCAAAGCAACATTTCTGTAAGCACTACAGTGTTCAGGAGTGCCACTTTTCATTGCGCTAAAATAATCTTTACTGTATAAAATAATCTTTTAAGCAAACCGTGTCTTAATTCATTTTATTCTATGAACGGTTGCTAACAATTTTAAAAAGTAGCGAATAGCGATTCGCTGTTTGAAAAGTAGTCAACTATTTGGCTACTTTTAGGCAAAATGTAGTTCGCTATAACTACAACTACTGTTTTAAAACAGTAGTCAAAAACTACTGGCTACTTGAAAATTGTAGTTCGCTACAGTAGCGAACTACAACTACTTCGCTACTACCCACCCTTGTCGCTCAATGATCTAGCTATACAATGTCAATGTTATAGCTTGTACCAAAATGTAGCTGATTTCACCAGTTATCTGACAATATGCGTAAAATTATTGTACCTGTAATATTCGCACAGATATAGACGAATAAAAGTCATGTTTATGTTGCATTAATTTAATTAAAATTAAACTTTCTAATTATAATTCTGGTTTCAAATTTTGTTTACATTGTGTGATTTTGACCCCGTCGTTTAGGCAACGTTTTCTCGCTCAATATTGTAGCTACAGAAATATAGCTCCCGCTAAAATGTAGGCATTTTCAGAGGCATTCAAACCATATGCGTTAGCGGTGAATGTCGTTAATAGTTGGAACATATAATGTCTGCTTCTAGGCACGAGTTTCAACCGCTTATATTAATAGTATATTAATTATATTAATATCATAATTAGAAAGTTTAATGCAACATAAACATGACTTTTATTCGTCTATATCTGTGCGAATATTACAGGTACAATAATTTTACGCATATTGTCAGATAGCTGGTGAAATCAGCTACATTTTGGTACAAGCTATAACATTGTATAGCTAGAATATTGAGCGCGATAATTCGTTGCCTAAACGAGGGTGTAAAAATTGCCGTCGGAATATACATTCTAGTCGGAAATCGGAATATATATTATGTCTGGTTTTAGCCACGAGTTTCAATCGCTTATATTTAAAAATTGCCGTCGGAATATACATTCTAGTCGGAAATCGGAATATATATTATGTCTGATTTTAGCCACGAGTTTCAATCGCTTATATTAATTCGAAATTTAACGACATACACCCCTAAGGCCCGGTTTAGACGGCGAACTTTTCATGCGCCGAATCTAATGCAAGAATTAAGTGCGACGCTGGGGCGGCGTCTAAATCAATTAAGTTCGACAGGTTTTGATTAAGTTCGACACGACTCGAAGATGCGACAAGACAAGTCGTATATGCGACACAAGTTCGACATTGATTTAGACGCCGTGCTTTTCATGCGCCGAACCTAATGCATAATTATTTTTTAACATCATAATACGATTATCATATATTTGCATTGTAAATATGTCCAATATAGTGTCCTCGTAATTTGGTACGGGACAATTAAGTTCGACGTCTAAATCAGTTTCCGATATTTTGTCGTATCTACGACAATTAGATTCGGCGCATGAAAAGTTCGCCGTCTAAACCGGGCCTAACGTGGATGTTTTGAAAGCTTGTGAAAATGCCTGCATTTTAGTGGAATTTTTATTTGCAGGTTAGTAGAAAATTCGCTGAGAAAAAGTTCGCAACAAACTTTTGTCATGCCATGGAAATTCAAAAACTATTTTCAAAAGTTCAAAAGTCTCGCCTTGCTGCGCATGTAAGCACACGCATTTGAAGCTTTCATAATATGTAGTTAAAAACATTTTATAGTGACAGACACAGGTGGAAAGCTTATTAAAATTGAAACGGCCTAGTATTTTGAAAATGATGTGGTACTTCCAGACGTATATCAAAAATCGAGCTTCAATTCAACAGTATTGATAATAGTGTTCGCCGTAAAAACTAACCCACTGTGTTTCCTCCAGAATAATAGAATATCTGCCTTGCAC